TTCAATTCACTGTTGTTGAATTATTATTTATAAAAAACATTTATGACTGCAGATTTTTTTGTATATCTATCTATACATTTTATTATAGTATTTTTTTTACTCACCTGAGTTATGGCGCCACTAAAGCATAGCAGAGTTTTTTATTATTTTGCTTTTTATCATTTATTTTAATCAATTTTATTGTGAAAAATGAGATTATGAGACATGCACTTTTGGATTTTCCAAACTTTTTATTTATGAACTAAGTGGATAATGGATAAGACTTCCAGCATTCGTGTGTAAGCGCACCCGCTTCGCTCGTTACGCCAATCTTCTCATTGCCGGAAGTCTCGTCCACTCAGTAAATAACAATTTATATCACACTTATAAAAATGCGTCAATTTTATTCAATTAATTTGCGTGATCGATTAAAATAAAATGCACAAATTCAAAAGCTGTCATATTAGTTGAACGACTACTAATAGATGGCACCATCGATAGCCTTTCAACATAGTTTAATGTTTGGCTACATTGGTTTAAACCAACGCCTTGTATCCTATATTAAAAAAAAAAAAAAAAATAGTTTAATGTTTGGCTATATTGGTTTAAACGGTGTACATATATGTTGTCTTAGACTTGATGTAAAGTTATAGATTTTATATGAATCGTTTATTTGAGAAACCCCATAAGTCGTATTTTTTTCGAAATCGGGTTTATTGCATTTTTCGATTCTTTGAATTTCCCCTCACTTATACCAGCACCAAAAAATATTAAATCCGTGTTCAATACCTAACCAATCGGTCGATATAAATCTCGTTTAGTTGAGAAACCCCATAAGTCAGTGACTTATGACTTTCAGTGACTTTCAAACAAAAAAAAAATTTCTACAATTCTTCAATGTTTTTAGTCAATAAAAAATAAATTCAAAGTTTTATATATATATAATTTTAAAGTTTTCTCAAGATCAAAAATATAATAAATAATATAAACCGTCAATACTTGTTTTAATTTTGGTATGAAAAGTTATTTTCAATAAAATGTTATCATTTATAAATAAAATTGAATAATATTTTATCAATAGATATTTTCTGAAAAGCGAAGGACGGAAATATCACCAGGCAGCAACTCCGCAAACGGAAATATAAACGGAATAGTAGTCTGCATTTGAATCTCCAATTTCCCACGATCTTAACATACCCTCTACTCTGTACTCCGAACAGCTTGACATATAATGGACGGCTGGAAAGACTTCGAGTCTTAAAGTTAAGGAAATATTCATAATTTTTCCAGCACTGATTTCCCGCATCATTTTAAGTTATTTAACATATGATTTTTTTATTCTTTTCATATTTGCGGTACCACAAAGCGTAGAAAAAAAAGTTTTCTACGCTTCAGAATACAGTATCGCTACTGTCACCATACGCACGTTACGAAACACTGGATCGCTATGGTCACTATCCGTTTTGCTAATTTAGCGATCTATTGAATACACCTAGCGGTGATGGAGATACTGACTTTGCATAATTTATTATTGATGTTTCAAATAATGATTTATATAATCGAAGCCAAGTTTTATAAATATTTTATCCAGTAATAATAATTACGACAATAATCACCATGCACTTAATAATTGTCGATAAACAATGACAAATGAGGTTAGGAACTTACGCCGAAGAACTGGCGCTTCGAGGTTAGATCGCGACCGTCAGGATCCGTTCCCTGATTATAGCGATATACCGTTCACGATATAACGGATAGTGAAGCGTAGAAAACTTTTTTTTCAGTGCATATTTCCGAATTTTTTCGACAACGATATCTCTCGAACCGATCAACCGATTTTCACGTTATTGGTGGCGATCGACGTAGTTTTTATCGGCAATAGCGTCTCCAATTCATTGCGGATCTTTATCATACTTAACATACTTATTCTACAGATGAATACCAAGATCAAGTTCAAAGATGAGCTTAATCGATCAAGTAGTTTCAAAATGGCATGCTTTTTAAATTTTCAAAATCGTTGAAATTAATATTTCTTTACTTTCTTTCTCGAATAACTTTTGAATGCGATAACTTATCCAAGCTCTGTAAATTGCATCTGAAAGCTCTTCAAATAAGCTTTAATTTAAGTATCATAATGTATGTGTGTATAGTTTCAAAATTACGTCCGATTTCGCTATGCCTATATATCGTGATCGTTGATAATTAATCTATATATTTTATTCAATCTCTGAGGAAGTCATGATACACGAATTCCTCATAAAATAAAGATTGACATTTTTGATTTTAAAGTATTTCAATTATTTTTTATAGCGAAATCTTGCTAGGAGAAGTAGTGAGAGTATGAAATTTTCAAATTTTTCAAATTTTTAAATGCTGTTATTTCTAAATTAATTAACCAATTGAGATCATATTTAAACTTGACCTCAAATTTAGCAAATTAAGCAAATTTTATAATTGGCATAGTAGAATAGGACATAATTTTGAGACTACATATATATATATATATATATATATATATATATATATATATATATTTAAAAAATTTTTGCGGTTCAAATATTCGAATCTACCGTAGTCGAAATTTAAGTCGTAGATTCAACGTATTGAATGTTCAAACCGTAAATTCGACGTATTAAACGTTTCAAACGTCAGTTTAACATATTGGAAGTAAAAAATATAGATTCATTATTTCAATAAAAAATAAAGTCAACTGTTTTAAAAAAAAATATATGACCCATAGTAAAAATCAAAAGTTACAAAGATCGTTATTGACATACTCAAAATTATCTTTCTAGTTGATCATTTGGCGTCTAATAGACTCTTTCTAAAAGAAAACTGAGCTTGATAGCTTCTAAGGCCAAATTTTCTAGCTGTGAGAGTACCCAAAGATACTCCAATTACCACTGGTTCTTAATTAAACACTTGATAGTCTTCTTAAACAGCCATACACCTTCGAAAAAAAAAAACATTTTGGAAACCATTCCACAAGTAAAAAATTCGGACTAAGTATTTTTATCGAACGGATGGTAGAATTTCAACCAAAAAACTGAAATTCTGCCTAACAGAATTAAAAAAACATTTTTTATCGTACTTCCGTTTAAAAGTATGTAGTTACTTTCAATGCGTATACTGTAAAAAATTTTTTAAGTCCATTCTAAGAGAAATTTTTTTCACCAAAAAAAAATTAATATGTATCGACTTGAAATAATCTAAAATGAATAAAGAACAGGACATCAGGACGTTTAATTGTTTTGGTGTAACATGTTGAATGAAAAATTTTAAAGCACAAAAAAATTTGTAAGTCTTAAAAACTTAAAAGTTTTCAAGTCCTGTCTAAGAATAATTTTTTTCGGATAAAAAAAAAGTATATCTGTACGGACTGAAAATACCTTGAATTGGATAAGTAGCATAATTTTAACATGTATTTTCTTTAGTTTGAAAACTTCACTGTTTACATCGTCCAAAAATCTGAATATTTGTTGACTTACGCAGGCGCCTTGCGTAGTCTCAATACATTCTGTACTGTGCAAGTTAATCTACAAATAATATAAATTTAGTCATTAAGTCTGTTGTGAATGATATATTTATATTAATGTCATTATTTATAGAGTGAACAAAATCAAAAATACTTATTTTACTAAGTAAACAAAGTGATCATCTTTATTTCTATATTTTTACTTTCTTACATCATGGACACTGGAACATGATGTCTTGATTTCAATTAATTTATCAGTTTCTAGCAGTTTGTAGCCCATTATTATTTATAAATTAAAAAAATTTTTTATATCCAACACTTAAAAAAAATTTCAAACCCTGGGACTTTGAAATTTTTTTAAGGTGTAAACAGGGAATAAGTCATACACTGGAACATGGTGTCTTAATGTCAATAAATTTATCAGTTTCTGGCAGTTTGTAGCCCATTGTTATTGATAAATTAAAAAAAATTTTTTGATTCAACACTTAGAAAAATTTCTAACTCGGGGACTTTGAAATATTTTGACGGTGTAAACCCGGCATATGTCATACACTACAACATGGTCCCTTAATTTCAATAAATTTATCAGTTTCTGGCAGTTTGTAGCCCATTGTTATCGATAAATTAAAAAAAATTTTCAATTCAACACTTAGAAAAAATTCAAACTCGGGGACTTTAAAAAAATTTTCGGTGTATACGCGGCGTATACTTAGGATGAATTCGACACGTATACACTATGTATACTTGGTGTATACTGAGCATAAACCGATCCGCTAGGGTATTGATCACAAAAAAGAAGAAATATAAATTAAGACATTAAATAACATCAATTAATATTAATCATTATCTACAGTACGATTTTTAGAATGCTATAGAAATAATTTATTATTTCTATAGCATTCTAGTTTATTTTTTAAAATAAACTAGAAATTTCCCTGACCCAAGTTAAAACTCCCTGACTTTTCACTGACTATTCCAGAAATTTCAAATTCCTTGACATTTCCAGGTTTTCCAGGTCAATCGCCACCTTGATAAAGTATGTTGAGTTTAGAAAGGATCGATTAAAAATTGTAAATGCTATCATCGGGACAAGCCGCGTTCTATCGTATATATACATACATACATAAACATACATACATAAACTTTTGAACTATACATATTTTCTGAATCAGCTCGACGAGCTGAGTCAATATATAGCAAAATTTTTCAAAAGTTTCGTCATGAGGACCAACGCTATCGTTAGATTTCTATTAAATCTACTAAAAATAGCAATTCATCGATTTAGTAAAAATTTTGATAAATTCAGCAATCATTTTTCTTCGTGATAGTGTTTTTTTTTAATTAAAAATTAAATTATTATCTAAAAAATATTCAACCTGCAATCATTGCTCATATAACTTTAACAATGTAGATAAGATGTTGTAAAAAAAAAACATTTTTTATTTTTTCTAAGACACGAATTATTATTAATTATTTAACAATTAAATAATTCAGTTAAAATAATAAAAATACTTATTACAAAGTTAAAATACATTAGAAATTATTTTCAAAAATAAGGTCCTTTAGCAAAAGGTTTCCGAGCATTAGTAGGAATAACATAGTAAACTCCTCTAATACTTCTATTAACAAATTCACCTGCAAGTTCCAGTACGCTTTCTTCCGAAATCTTGCCACTTGCAATTTCGCCCTTTAAATTCTCAGGGTACCCCCAAAATCCAAGCTTAGAAGTAATAGATTCCGCGAAGTATAACGAAGCCCGTGCGTGATGGCAGACAAGGTCAAGCATCTGGCATCCAGGTTGTGTTTTTCCCGAATTCATTATGAAATCGACGTGTCCACAAGCGTCTACCCTGCCTAAAATAGACGAATGATAAACATCCACAAATACGGCGTCCGAAGAGTCCAGTTTAGCGTCTAATCCTATTATTCCCAGCAGCGGTCTAGCGGGGTCCAAACCAGTGATCCGCTTGAGTTTGTGGTTCCCCAGGTAGTTTGAGGCTATTGCAGGAATATGAGCACCCAGACTGTGTCCTATTGCGTGGATATCCTGGACCCCATTTTTCATCAACACTAGGAAGAGTCTCGCAACATAAATCGCGCACGGTAAGAAATTTCCATTATTTTTTATTCTGCATGGATTTTAGATTTTACAATGGTCCATATTACTAGTGAACTTTATTGACTCAGAACAAAATTCTACAATGGCCCATAGTAATTTCCGAAACAAATGAAATCAGACATAGCAAATGGTAGAAATTGAAGTGTTCCATAGTAAAATGAAATATGCGATAATTTAAATTTCCGAATGTACTATAGCAAAAAAAATAAGAAAATGTCTATAAAAAATAAAAAATTTTAAAGTAAAAAATGTTTTTAGCAATCAAAAAAAATATCAAACCAAACAAGATTTTTTTTTGTTTGCAATAATTTTTAAAAATATTTTTTTAAAATATAGATTTTTTATTTGTTTTTTATTTTTTTTAATTTTTAACAATGAACATAGGATTTATTTTTTGGCAGTTAATTTTATTATAAATAATTATAAACACAATATATTACTTTTAAATATTATTACAGTTTTAATACAATTAAAGCTTACAGTTAATAGAAATTTAACGTCAAATACAAAGCTATTTTCAATTTTTTTTTTTTTTTTTGAATTAAGAATAACATGCAAGTAAGTAGCAATTTTTTTTTCATAATAAAAATAACAAATACAATACAAAGAAAAAAATATTTACTGATAAGATTTTTGGATGTCTGACATTTTTTATTATTATTAGAAAAGTGTCGGTTGCAGGTTAACTATCAAATGTTTGTTTACATTTTAATTTTTCACGGTAAATTATTAAATATTTTATTATTTATGAATCTTACAAATTTTCACTAACTATTGATGTGTTGGTGGATTTATGAACTTATATTTATTTAAAACTTAATGTTTATTGCAATTTTCATAACACCGTTAACCACTACTGATAGCGTCTGTACACTTATGTTCACAAAACAAAGCAACACGAAAAAATGAAAGAGCGCGCGTCGCGACTGACGCGCATACGTTTACTATGGGACATTTGAAAATTTCATATTCACAATTTTAAATTTAAACCGAGTACACGTGACTAAATGTGAAACTATTTTATAAATTTTTATTGTCGACTGAGCAAAAGAAATTTTACTATGGAACTATAGTGAAAAGTTTTAAGCACACTAACAGTTTCTGTTTTGTCAGTTTACGAAAGTTTTTTTATAAATGTTTATGTAACAGTTGCATGGCCAAATTTACTATGGTCCCTAGTAAATATTGATTGGTACAATATGATATTCTTATATTTTTATGGTAATATTTTAAATAGAGTCATTAAGGTTCAGTCTTATTATGTATGCATAGTAAATTTCTACAGAAATTTCTTACCGTGCGACTATTCTTGAAAACCCAATTGTCGTGATATACATACTACCTGCATGATAAGACCAGTTCACCATTATTACGTTACAGTCAAATTTAAATAGGTACACTGATAGAAGGATTTATTAAATATTAATAAATTTGATTTATTTGAAGATAATAATTTAATTTATTAAATTTTAATAAATATTTTTTAACATTCAATAAATATTTATTTGGGAGAAAAGTACATTTATTAATAGTTAATAAATATTTATTAATAGTTAACAAATATTTATTAACAGTTAATAAATATTTTGTTGAGTGAATTTGTTTGGCTTGCAATGTCATATGATATGAAGGTTGCTTATAAACAAAAATCATCTTTATAAATTATTTGCATTAATTATATTACATTATAATAATATTTATTGTAAACTACCAAATTCTATCACAACTCATAATTATCTTTCATATTTTTAAATATTAAAATCGTTAATTTATTAAGTGAATTGAATTATTATCATGTATTCCAGTTATAGGGTTATAAAAAGTGTCAAAAGAAAATTGCTATTTTTGCTTTTTATCCTAAATAAATATTT